GAGAGGACAAGAACTGGCTTATAGAAAGAAGAGAGTACTCTGTACAGGTTAGGATCATGCCGTACTACCACTATAGCTTTGCATATGACTACGCAATATTGGGACTTGTTTGATGACATGTATTTAGTAATATGAACCAGTAATGAAGTAAAGGTACAATTTGGATCATACTGGGTTTTCGGTTTCGTTATAAATGATGATTGCCGCACTTAAGTTTAATACAACATGTTTGCACCTTTGACTATCTTCTTGATGTAAAAAAAGGTATATCACTTATTTCGGCTGGCTCCTTTCATTTTTTCTGTTTTTGGGATCCTTCGAAAAATAACGGCGTTTCATGGGTTCCGGCTGAGCAACAGAAAGGGGACCATATGACTTCCTAGTGTACCAATACAAACTGCTGAACTTCAGTCAGCGGTCTGCACATCTCTTGAGTCATTAGGCAGTATTCATGCTCTGTGTCATTGTGTAATCGGATTAAGATTAGATACATATTGACCAGAATAACCACAGAATTGCATTGCAACATCGCCGACACTGCAGACTGCTTATTTCGGAATTTCTTTTGTCAAGCTTTTTGGCTGGAAAACTATTATTTTTGTAGGCGACGTCAAAAACGAAATAGGGAAGTATTGTGAAATGGGTCGTTGCTAATTGAGCAATCGTAAGCAGGTAACTCGACGATTTCGGGGCGAAACTACATTTAAATTGGAATGGATTCTTATTTTGCTATCCCTTATGAGTTATCTTGAAATTCATGCTTGTGCATAGTCGATAGTTCATCAGAAAATGGGTAATTGATGACATCAACGGGTCAGATTCGAAAACAAGACTATTCAAAGTCTAAAGTTCCTAATTGTTGTTTTCTGGACGTTGCAACTTGCTCGTTTTGCAGTGCCAAGTTTAACTTTTTCATTTGATTTGATTCGCTACATTTCTTTGCTTTGGTTGGATTGAAATCGATTAAGATCCGAAGCAAGCCATCAAAAGGCTGTGGAAGTTTGTCCAATGCTTTTAAATCTGAGCATTATGAAGGCGGTTCTTAGCTAGATGTCTCGCGGCTTGATATCATGGTACAGCAGTTTGTCAAGAGGAGCTGCCGCTTATCACCTCGTTCGGAAGAAGAAAAGTAGACTAATACGAGAGTATAGACGCTCCCTACGACCTACACCACTTACAATGGTATATGCAGTTGCTTTGTCTGATGGCTACCAGGCGATGGCATTCCGTCTCTTGTGGTCACACTTTGTCTATCATCGAAGATGACATTAAGCACGTTCTGCATTGCTCGTTCAGTAACTACCTGCATCGGTAGATGGAGCCGTTCTTTGCAGTGCTTTCTTGTCAGTGCATTGAGGCGTCCCTACTGCGGTAAAGTACAATATTTTAGTTATACTGTCTGTTTTTTGAGTTTTATCGATCATTCAAATTTGGTTTTTGAAAGGGTTTCACTTCAAATTTTTTGTTGCGTCGTACAATCCTTTTTGCCCGTTTTTAATGACCCCACTGTAATAGGCTTTGAAAATCTGTAACACCTTATTAGCCAGTCCAAGACGGGGATAAAAACCTAGCAACTGGATGTCG